TTAATCTCATCAACTTCTACGAACAACATACCTACTTGTTAGGATCTTGACATGGTTTGCAACTTCATTTTCAGTGTGTACATGTTGCAACAATCAGTAGAAACCATATCAACATATCCTACGCGGCATAGTACACAACGGGACATATCGCTCGACCCTAACCTTAGGGCTTAGCCATACGATACTGTTTAGGGCAACGTGTCTACCTACCATCATCCCTATAAGGCACGACCCTTTTCATCCACGTCCTCACTAAATGGAAGCAACCATGTCACAAGACGTATCGGGCGTTGGAAAGACCCTGTGTGATGGACCAGGGTTCCATGTTTCGCCATGGCAACAATAGTACTACCAACCACATATATTAGGAGAGGTGCAATGCCTGATTGATGCTTCCGATTGTTTAACACAAACATTCACGACTGTATCATGGTTGCTTCGTCACCATGGAAACTATTAGTGGTGGTGGAGAATTACCATAAAGGACCGATAAATTTAGGGTGGACAATTTGGTGAAGCGACTCAGGACATAGGGTTTTATATGCTAGGAACTGAATCAGCCCATGCTGCACAAATACATTGTCCATATTTAAGACGCGAGGTTGTGAAGCTAGGTTGTGTTCATTGCAAATAGGAGTGCAAGTGCGAGCTGGAAATCCAGATTTAGTAGTCAACGTGGGATTGCCCAACACAATGGTTGTCTTATTCGCACACATTAAATTTTATGGAGGTTATAGACTCAGGCCACTATGTTACCATCAAAGTTTATTTATCAATACTAGGGCAGAAATACTTTACCAGGCATACGTATTAAGCAGCTTCAATGAGGGTCGGGTGAAGGATGTGATAATATGCTCTGCCCTCACAAGGCTCTGCAGGTGAACTACCTTGTACGTGATATCTCGACGTCCTGTACCGAGCTTAATGCTGGATGTTTCGTCGTCCAACCCTCGCTCCTCAAGCAGTCTGACATACGCTAATGGGTGCATCTCATGTCGGCGTCCTCCCGTTGGCGTATTCACGTGAAATAGCATTAACAACTGCGCGTACACCACGCGGGCGCCTGCATCACCGCGCGTATGTGAGACCGGATTTTTTAGGGAGACGTACGAGAACCAGGGTGTGTTGTGGAATTGAGGTGTAGCCCTCGCATAATGGTCCTCGCACCCTTCTTTTCCAGGAAGTGCTACTGCTATATGGACCTGCAAGTACGTGGTGTTGGACGAAAACGGTGGATTAGAGTCCAATACACGGTCATATGGGCATCGTCATGTGGATGGGTGTGGGAACATATAGGGTCCAGACTCACATGTATTTCGTCCACATTCCACCCAGCCCGGTTGAGCGCTGTTGTGAATAAGTCCATGCAATTGCCATGGACCTCCTTATAGCTGCGCCACACATCCGCCCCTAGTTGCTTGCCCTGAACATGGGGCATGGAGACGGTGCTCGACGTTGCTGTTAAGACGGGATGCCCCTGTGCCGCAGCCTGTGGCGTGGTTGATATAGGTGTACGGAGGGGTTTGGAGCGGAGTAGCAATGGGGGAAGGGAGGTGCAGCATCTGGTGAAATGATATGGAGCATGTGGGTAAATGATGTTAAGGATGTGGGCAAGTGGGGTGCTGCATGGGGGGATGTGGGGTGCTGCATGGGGGGATGTGAGGTGCTGCATGGGGGGATGTGGGGTGCTGCATGGGGGGATGTGGGGTGCTGCATGGGGGAATGTGGGGTGCTGCATGGGGGGATGTGGGGTGCTGCATGGGGGGAGGTGGGGTGCTGCATGGGGGGATGTGGGGTGCTGCATGGGGGGAGGTGGGGTGCTGCATGGGGGGATGTGGGGTGCTGCATGGGGGGATGTGGGGTGCTGCATGGGGGGATGTGGGGTGCTGCATGGGGGGATGTGGGGTGCTGTATGGGGGGATGTGGGGTGCTGCATGGGGGGATGTGAGGTGCTGCATGGGGGAATGTGGGGTGCTGCATGGGGGGAGGTGGGGTGCTCCATGGGGGGATGAGGGGTGCTGCATGGGGGGATGTGAGGTGCTGCATGGGGGGCTGTGAGGTTCACAGCGTCGCTGGCAAAGTCTCTGCTGGATAGAGGAGGCATAAACACTCCATTTAAGGCATGGACGAGGTGTAGGCAAGGGGGGATGGGTGCAATATCAAGACGGGGATGGGTGACTAATTTTGAGCGCCGAACTGGTCATTGGACTGGATTACGCACCTTCACAATTGCCGTCTCGCGTTTTGGCACTTGTGAGAAAGAGCTTGGAAGATGGATCAGCGCCGAGCGGAGCGCAGTTGTGCGCATGATGGCATCATCATAATTTCGATAATTGGAGGAACGGAAAGGTTGTTTGCAGGTTGGAGCATGGGCATGCTCCCAGGTGGCTGCAGAGTACTCTGAGGGAGCGCCGGATCTGCGTATTGCATCTGGAAAGTGCACCAATTGATGCACTTTTACCAGTAACCAGCCGTGACCCGTACGTGGCAGATTCGTCCTCAGAACACGGATCAGCCTGGTAAGTTCAGGTACGAAAAGCGCAATATTAGTGTGCAGAGGCGTAGTGCTGTTTTCAAATAGGTGGGGGAAAGAGGTGGAACCGGGGGGCCGTGGGGAGAGATGCTGACGATTGGTTGGCGTACTCTTTTGTGTCGACCAGGTATTGCCGAAGCATGGCTTCAGTGTATCGGGTAGCACGGAAGTACTGGTCGTACCACTTTACGAAGGTCCGCAAAACGGCCATCTTCACTGGAGCTATGCGCATGTTTTCCAATATCAAGAGTACTACCTGAGCTGACACGTTAAGACGGGGTAAATCCATGGGTGTCAATGAGCCGTGGTCGCGTGAAAGCACAGGGGACACACCCTGCGTGGTTGCGAATTGAAAACTTGCATAGATGAAACGACAAACCAGATTCAATGTCACGTGCTAATTCGGTTACTAACTCTGATCATTCCAGCATGTTCGGCACCGGAGAAGTTTGCACCAAGGTTGAAGTAGTTTCCGTCAGGAGGAAGTTTGAAACCAGAGAACCGGTCGTCCGTGTTCATGACGCCATGCCGCCTGAATGGGCAGGGATACGAAACACGCTCCTTCGAGTTATACATCAAATGTAGATGAGGGGGTGAGAACGAAGGTGGCGGCGGCCCTACAACGGTAGGGGCAGCGTGAGTAGGCTTGTGGGGCAGGGAGGTGCAGCATTCAAGTAAAGCATAAGGGTGTACAGACATTTGGGGCATTGTGGTGCAGCATGGGGGGGAAACGTGGTAATCACGTGGGGAAGTGGTGTGATGCGTGGGTGGGAAGCAGGGTAGGCTTCCAGGCAAAGGCGATGCTTCATGGGGGGAACACAGGTTTGACACGTGGGTAAGAGATTGGCAGCATGGGGAGAAGGAGAGTAGGAATGTGGGTAACGGAGGTGCCGCACGGAGTGGAAACCATAGTAGGCATGTGGGGAAGGGGAATGCAGCGAGAGGTTCAAGTACGGTATGAGCAGCATGGGGGGGAGGTGGAGTTGTTGTTTGGTGTGAGTCGGAGAAAGAGGGGAAACCAGGGTGGGAACAAAAACCTCATATAAGCACGGTACTATAAGAGTTTAGCAAAAGGAGCCCATGAGACAAGCATACCTATTGAATTCCTGGACATCTTCACCATGAACGATGCACTCTAGGATGTAGAGCCAGACACCAATAAGAATCGCATGTAGAACATCCGGGAGAACCGCCAAGTAGGGGTTGCCAAATCCCTTCCGTTCCTCGTCGTTTCGATTGAACTTCCACAGCACACACTGCATCCAAACAGTTCAACCATTGGAATGAGGCTCATTAAAGGCAGTGGGAGTCACGTGAGGAATAAGAACAGAGTAGTTAGCAGCAAAAACGACCAGACAAAAAGGCGAACGTTGTCGTTTGCAATTACAGGAATATTGTGTGTCCCATAGGATTTTCGATATTCCTTGTCTGGGTCTGTAGCTACCCCCTTTTGTGCTTCTACCGTCCTCCAGTGGTTCAGGGTGGGATCCATGTTGGCCAGGTTCAGCTGTGTCACGTAGCACTGTGAACAAGGACGGTTAGACTGATGTTGCATCGTGCAAGACACCCGGGACCCCTCTGGATAGTCGGTCACCCATGAATACAGCTTGGGCCACACGGTCCATGCTCTCCCATGTGGATCAATCAAAGGCACAGAGCTGATGGGGTGTATGGGGGAGGAGCGGACAAAGAGATAGGAAACAGTGAAATGTGTTGTAAAATGACGTGTGCACACATGTGGGAATGGCTTGGGCAGCAAGTGGGAAGGGCGTGGGCAGCATGTGGGAATGGATGGGCGGAATGGGGCGAGCAGATGTTTATTGGCTGTGGGTGTGGGATGCGGATCATGTGGAGAGGGATGGGCATAATTGGGGGGGAAATGTGTTGCATGTGGGATTGAGATGTGGAGCATATGGAAAGGGATGGGCATCTTGATGGGAAGGGGTTGTGTGCAAATGGGTATAGGGTATCATATGGATGGTTGAAGCCACACTGCAGCGGACAATGATTATAGAATTGGCTATCGCTTACCATTCGACGGCGGCGATAAGCCTCTCAAGCACAATGTCAGTGCTTTTCTGAAACAGCTCCACCTTTTGAGCTGATGTCATGTCGGGATGTGGAGTTGGTAATAGAGCAAGGAGGACACGTCCGTGGTCTTTCCATCGGAGTCGTAGAGGGATGTTAGTGCATGAGAAGTACAAGGGCCACGCCTTCAAACGCTCGTTCCCGCTAAGAAGCGTCTCGTCACTCGAGATTATAAATGGACACACCAGTTCGTCTTCTGACAGGCCGGCCTGCAGACGTGATGCAAGCACGAGTGCAGCACAACAGATTCGCATTATAGGCAAGAGCACGCAAGTCGGCAGAAACCAGTAATGTAGTGGGAGCACGTCGAACAACACTTCACATGTTGCCCTCGGGCAAAGAAATGAACAGCGCAGCGGCATACGTTGCTAATAGCAAGTTAGCATACCTGCGCCTCTTCCCAGAAGGTCCCAGTCTCTGCTGCCCCGTAAACGCGCTCTTCATTCTCGTACTCGGGTCTTGCACGGTGTACGAACCCATCACGATTCTTCGGGTCGGCCCATAGACGTGCCAGAGCCTGAACGGTGCCAAAAACACAAGTATGCAGTGAAAAGGGTTTAGGGGGGCAGCCCGTCAGAGGAGCAGCCCATGAGAGGAGCAGCCCATGAGAGGAGCAGCCCATGAGAGGAGCAGCCCGTGAGAGGAGCAGCCCATGAGAGGAGCAGCCCATGAGAGGAGCAGCCCGTGAGAGGAGCAGCCCATGAGAGGAGCAGCCCATGAGAGGAGCAGCCCGTGAGAGGAGCAGCCCGTGAGAGGAGCAGCCCGTGAGAGGAGCAGCCCGTGAGAGGAGCAGCCCATGAGAGGAGCAGCCCATGAGAGGAGCAGCCCATGAGAGGAGCAGCCCATGAGAGGAGCAGCCCGTGAGAGGAGCAGCCCATGAGAGGAGCAGCCCGTGAGAGGAGCAGCCCGTGAGAGGAGCAGCCCGTGAGAGGAGCAGCCCATGAGAGGAGCAGCCCATGAGAGGAGCAGCCCATGAGAGGAGCAGCCCGTGAGAGGAGCAGCCCATGAGAGGAGCAGCCCGTAAGAGGAGCAGCCCGTGAGAGGAGCAGCCCGTGAGAGGAGCAGCCCGTGAGAGGAGCAGCCCGTGAGAGGAGCAGCCCATGAGAGGAGCAGCCCATGAGAGGAGCAGCCCATGAGAGGAGCAGCCCATGAGAGGAGCAGCCCATGAGAGGAGCAGCCCATGAGAGGAGCAGCCCGTGAGAGGAGCAGCCCATGAGAGGAGCAGCCCGTGAGAGGAGCAGCCCGTGAGAGGAGCAGCCCGTGAGAGGAGCAGCCCGTGAGAGGAGCAGCCCATGAGAGGAGCAGCCCATGAGAGGAGCAGCCCATGAGAGGAGCAGCCCATGAGAGGAGCAGCCCATGAGAGGAGCAGCCCATGAGAGGAGCAGCCCGTGAGAGGAGCAGCCCATGAGAGGAGCAGCCCATGAGAGGAGCAGCCCGTGAGAGGAGCAGCCCGTGAGAGGAGCAGCCCGTGAGAGGAGCAGCCCGTGAGAGGAGCATCCCATGAGAGGAGCAGCCCATGAGAGGAGCAGCCCATGAGAGGAGCAGCCCATGAGAGGAGCAGCCCATGAGAGGAGCAGCCCGTGAGAGGAGCAGCCCATGAGAGGAGCAGCCCATGAGAGGAGCAGCCCGTGAGAGGAGCAGCCCATGAGAGGAGCAGCCCATGAGAGGAGCAGCCCATGAGAGGAGCAGCCCGTGAGAGGAGCAGCCCATGAGAGGAGCAGCCCGTGAGAGGAGCAGCCCGTGAGAGGAGCAGCCCATGAGAGGAGAGAGAAGCGGACAGAGGGATAAGCGGACTGAGAGCTAAGCGGGTGGAGAGAGAAGCGGACAGATACAGCAGCGGACGGAGGGAGAACCGGAGGAGGAGTGAAGCAGACAGATATAAATTTGGACAGAGAGAGAAGTGGAGAGAGAAGCAGACAGGAATGGAATCGGCAAGAGAAAGAAACGGACAGACAGAAAAGCGGGCGTAGAGAGGAGCGGACAGAGAGAGGAGCGGATAGAGAGAGGAGCGGAGAGATAAAGAAGCGGACAGAGATAGAAGAAGACAGATGGAGGAGGGTCCAGAAAGAGGAGGGCCCAGAGAGAGGAGCAAACAGAGAGAGGAGCGGACGGAGAGAGGAGCGGACGGAGAGTGAAGCGGAGAGTGAGAGGAGCGGACGGAGAGTGAAGCGGACATATAGAAAATCTGACATGGAGAGACGTGGACCGAGGCTGTAGCCGACGGTGATAGGTGTGGCCAGTGCAAGGTGCGGAAAGTCATAAGCATAGGTATATAGCACGAAGGTACACTTACCACGACGGGGTCAATGTATTTGACCTTGAACTTCGTCGGCCATCCTTCAACGGTCACCTCCTTGGTAAGGTACTTCTTCTTCTCGACTCCCAGTTTTTCAAACGCATACTTGTCCACCGCGTGCTTCCCATTCCAGTGTGCCAGATCGCTCAGATTGAATTTCGGATGCTTTATCAGTTTGAAGAACAGGGCAATGTCCGTACCACTCAATCCCATCCCTTTGTTGCACAGACACAGAAAACGAAATACTTCCAGGCAGGTATCGAAGGGTTCCTCGGGCTCGTCATATTCAGCAAAGTACGGATTTGCCTCATAGAATGTTTCTCCGTCGACCAAACCGGGGTCACAAGGGGTGTCGCTGGTGTCGGGTGGCGGATCCGTCGGCAGAGGGTGCAATGATTCCGCGGGAAACACGAATTCAGTTGGAGGTGGCTCCGAAGTTTCACGGCTGGCACGTGGCAGGGCGTCAAGACGTGCACGTTTGTTACTGCATGCGCCTTCGAGGCGCTCGTGATTTGTCTGGCATTTCTCGTCGTCGAATGTTTCCCCACAAAATACGCATGAGTGAGTGACCATTATCTGATAAAGGCAGGTAAGGTGGCCGTCTGGCTTAGCATGGGCTTCCCGTATCAACAGAAACGCTTGCACTACTAACAAAGCCTACCACGTACGTCAGAATAACGTACAAGTATGAAGTAGAAGGCAGCCTGCATTGTCGTCCCGTTGCGGGCGTTAGTTCTAGCGCTCATGGCGATATCATTCCAACATTCCACGAATCCCTTGGCGTCTCAAGGCTGTGAGATTGGTAAAAGCTAGTGACAAGTCTTTGGGGTGATTTACACCCTGAACACTGGAAGAGGAGATACGAGAGGAAAGACAGGTGTGCAAACTTCGAATCGCCCAAATTCAGTGGATGCATTCGAAATTCGAAACCTGTGGGGTTGAAATGCGGCGTGGATGCGGGAAGCGCTTTGCATATCGCAGCGCCCCCCCTAGAACAACACATGTGTGTTGCGATAATTATGTTTGCTAGGAACGTTGTGTACACTACTAAGCACTGTTCTGTTGTTTAACATTACCGGAATGGTTTATTCATTTGGTGAGTTATTGGTCACAAGTGGGTTCATGCAAATGGCATGTTGCTTTATCCAATTTCGGAGAACTCCAGTAATTGGGAACTAGCAACCTCGTTTACGAATCATCACATACTGGCCAACATGCAACTCAAAGCCTATTTCATCAGATGGCTAGCCGTAATCCAGGATGCAGATTCACTTGTTCTCACATAACTGTTTAGATACCAGGATCATTCTTCACTTTAGAGGGTCTGGCACACGACGAGCAGAATGGCCAGTGCTTCACATGAATCTGAAATTCAAGGTATGGAAGGATGCACTTATGTAGCAGGGGCATATTGAAGAAGCAACGTCAGGAATTTAGGGTGGTGGTGCCATTTGTGGTAGCTAGCTGCCCAACGAGCCAATCAAACATGCCAAAGTGAACGATAGGCATTCCATCACTGATTAGTGTGCATGTGTTCGGCGACGTCGTCATGAAATCGTCTCGATCTTGTGTGTAGGGTTATTCGCAATTCTGTCCAGAATCCACATGATTTGGGATTTAACTCTGAACGTTAACGGTATGCTGCATAAGAACGTGAATCCAGTGTCGGACTATACGTTGACAGGCGTCAGCAGTAAATGCCACCTCTGTAGTGGCATCTCCTATGCGGCATCCCGTCGAGCTTAGACCCACTATTGAAACCAGCAAGCAGAGAGGATATATGCGATGTGGCGACCAGGAGAAGCGACGACCAGGAGAAGCGACGACCAAGTGAAGCGACGAGAGCGAGAGGCTGCGATCAGGATAAGCGGAAAGGAGCGGACGGATAACCGGGCGGCGACGAGAGGAGAAGCCTAACTAGGACTGAACATCCGGCTGTGAGAGACTAAAACCAATGGAGGTGTTCATACTAGTGCTTCTCGAGTGGCAATGTAGCTCCTCTACCTGATGTGGAGCTGATACCCGATAACTGGGGAGTGTTGTCAGTGTGTTCGAGCTGTGACGAAACACCTGGTACACGATACCCGGTGTGGAAGGTCGACTAGCCACGTCGACAAACTCTTCATGATTACGATCTCATAAACCCACGCCTGAGTCACCCAAAAGCGGGGTTAGCGATTGGACTCGAAGCCACGTTGGCATAGATCTTCATGAGTGTGAGCGTGAAATCAAGCGCCTCAGCCAATCATACGCGAACATGGAGTACCATGGATGCACCTCGCCTTGCCTGCCTGAGCAGGGGACAGTCGACCAGCTCAATCTCAACTGAGCAGCCCCTGCCTGAAAGGAGTACAAATTCGTTCTAAATGCTTTAAGTTATGGTAACAAGATTACTTCTATGGGTTTTTGGGTGATGTGGCAAAATAAAGAGGTAGGAGTGATGGACTGACGAATGCCCTGTGATATTATAGCACGTGGCGCCTATTTATTCTGGAAAGACATGGAGCAGGTGACGTAGTGAAAAATCTCCTATTCACTCACTGTTTCGGAAAACCCTGCGCATGCAACATGTCACCGTTTTATCGTTTTGTTGGTTTTTTTACCACCGTTTCTTCACACATTCAGGCCCTTCAAACAAATACCCTGCGATAGGAACTGGTTTGACCTCATTCGCACAACTACGCAGCCCGTGGCGCTTGTTTGTGCGTTCGATGACCTTGAACTGTGCAAGGATAGGCCAGTACGCAACATGATGCCGTTTCTTTGTCTGTTTTCTATTATTTAGCTCATTCTTTTCACACATTCAGGCGCTTCAATCAAATACCTTGCGATATGAACGTGGTTTGACCTCATTTGCTCAACTAGGCAGCCTGTGGCGGTGGATTGTGCGCTCGATGACCCGAAACCGTGCTTTGGCTCGGACTTTCCTATGTTGCGTCTGCACTCGGACAGAGGTGGTGTGAGTGCAAAACGTTTGGCGATGGTGTCGGCGTATTTCGTAACACTGAGGTAGATAGCGTCTTCTTCTTCCCGGATGTTGAGGCCGAGGTACTGTATGACAGTAGATGAGACCGTGAGTGTGAGGTCTTGTTGTAGCTCCCCTTCGAAACAAGTTGTAATGCCGTCAGTTGAGCCGACGTAGAGTAGATCGTCTACATAGACGCAAAGCATGATGTAGTCGGTACCTTTCGTGAGCCGGTACATTCCCTGGTCGTGCGGCAATTCCTTGAAGCCGATGCAAATGAGGCGAGCGTGTAGGTATTGTTGCCATAGTCGCGGTGCCTGCTTGATGCCGTAGAGTGACTAGAGTAGCTGGCAGACTTGGTTGGGTTCTCCGAGGGAGCCGTGCGGTAGCTCAACGAAAATTTCAGCATCTGTAGGTGCGTAGAGAAACACGTTTGGGACGTCAATTTGTCGCAGCTTCTTCTTCTTCATGGCGGCGATTGTGAGGAGAATGCGTAGTGAGGTGTGGCGGCTAACCGGAGCGAAAGTTTCGGTGAAGTCGCGTCCGTGTTCTTGGTCGAAGCCGCGTACGACCCGGCGAGCTTTGAATTTGTCGATGGTGCCGTCGGCTTTTGTCTTCACACGGAAGACCCACTTCCCGGTGAGCACTGTCTTGTTCCGTGCCACGCCGATAGGAACCACTTTCCACGTGTTGCGTTCCTCCTGTGCCTTCAGCTCCTTGTCCATGGCTTCGCGGCATTTTTCTTTATGTTCCCCCCCCAAAGCCTGTTGAACTGTCGCTGACCTTTGATTTTCGCGTAACCTCCAGCGGTTACTTCAACCTCCGAGGGTTGACTCGCTGGTGCCTTGATATGGTGTGCTTCGCTTGTGCCTTAGTGTTTCGACACGATAGAGGCACTTAGGGCCGATTGTTTCCAGCAAGATGTTGATTCTGTGTAAATGTTGCGCTCGGCTCGAGCAGATGCAAGCGGACGGCTGTTTCTTTTGGCTGCCATTACACGAGATTAACTGCTGGGCATGAGTATCAATATTCATGCTGAGAAGCAGGGCCCGAAATTGGTTTAGGCCTACTCTTGCAAATCAGGGTACCAGCCCCTCCTAGAACAGACCCTAAGGGTAGAATTTTCCGTAGCCTGATTTCAGCAGGGTAATTCTGGCACTAGGCTGATTTGAGCAGGGTATTTTCGGGCCAATTCTGTTCTGGTTATAGTTTTGTGAGCTACGGTTTTAATAAAAACAGAAATAAAGTAATACACCCAAAGTCCATTCACTCTACAAAAGTCATACATGAACTACACACCTACTCAGTGTGGAACAAATGACCAGGAATGAGAATGACTAAGTCAGAGTTGGGTACAAATACAACCCTTGAAAAAGCTGTACCCCATATGTGCTACCCCACTATAGCCTACAAACATGCATCAGCTATAATAATCTGACACTCAGTGCCACCCCCACTGCCTACATCTTCTACAAACTGAGTCTGTGAAGCTCTGGTGCGGTCGAACTCCCTGGTAGATCGCCTCAGCCTCTCTCCTCGAAAGATAGCGACCACCTCAAACCAGTCGACATCGTACCGCAGCAGGGAGCAACGCATCAGATGCTCCAGGCTAGTGTCGTCAAGGCTGCCACGACCCCACGTCTTGATCAGATTCTGCTTCGAGAAGCCACGCTCGCATTCAACCGTGCTCAATGGCAGCACGGCCACTGACTGCCCCATCCGCATGATGTTGGGGAAGGAGACACGCCATGCATCATCCCGCAGCATGTTCATCAGCGCCTGATGGAATTCCTCGTTGTTGTGCTGGGCGAACATTGTGGATGTAAACATCCACAGCTCCTGCTACTGCTCTCTTGTAGTCGAACCCTGTGGTGGGGCGGAGTGCGGGTGAAAGCTAAGCCGATGCTCGCAGACACGGGTAGGGGTGGGGGGCATTAGTCCGACAGGCCACAGTATGTAGGATGTGCAATGGTTAACCTAATGTCAGGCATGAAAGTGACAACAAACATCATAACACATGCAAGCGCTACAGAAGGCTTACCAGGCAGCTTGTGGTGGTATAACTTGTGCAGTTGGCCGAGCCACTTCTTGAAGGTTTCAAGTCGCTTCGTGTCGTCAGACACGTACGAGGCTGTGCGAAACAGCTTCGAGCCTTCTAGGAGCTCCAGGTCGCGCATCCGCCACTCCAGCTTCTTGTCAATGGCGCGCACGAACTTGATCGACAGCTCGACGCACGCAGTGACATCGCCTTCCGTCTCGTGTCCAGGCAGCGGGCGCTCGTGCAGCGTGAACTCAAACGTGACGGGATTCCCTTCCCCGTCTACGCCTTCCGCCTTCATCTCGCGCTTGTCCTTTGCCCCGTGCCTCTGAACGAACTCGGGAAGCTGCATTTTCTCGCCGCTGCCGAAATGGTGTGCAGGGTCGCGGAGGGAATACTGCGTCTTCAAACGCATCCTTATCTGCTGCATGATGTGCGCAACAAGGGTTACGTCCACCTGCACATGGGGATCGCAGCGAGTTAGTTAGTACACCTGCTTGCAAGCGACAACAAAGACGCCAGCAACAAAGACGCTTACCTGGCGCTGCTGGAATCGCATGTTAAGGCTGTTCAGTTCCCAAAGCACATCCGCAAGAGAGCGGATGAGCCAGTGGAACTTGAACGAGGTCACCACCTTGTAGAGATCCGCCTTGTAATCCTTCATCACCACAATGGCCGCACAGAGCACGTCTAGCAGGCGCTGTACCGCTTCACCGCGGGAGAGCCATCGTGTGTCGTTAATCCCCTGCGCCTCGAGATTCGTCTGGCAGCAAATCCGCTGCATCTCTTGAAACTTCGCGTAGTCTACGCTGCTGTGGCCGATGTGGTAAGCGAAGGCGCGCACGACGTCGTCGATCATTAGCAGGTCAGGTACCTCTTCTGCAGCATCACTGGCAGCGAGTGCCTCCCTGTACATAGAGGAAACACGACATATTGTTAGTCAGCGTGAGCATTTGGTAAGCGAGCAGCACGGAGCACACTACGGTGATGCTTACCGATGCGCGATACAGTGTGTTGAAGCCAGATGCGGAATGCGCATGCGAAGACGTGTCACGACTCCTCGGTTCTTGCCGACCATGACGCTGGCACCATCGGATGCGACGCTGGATATCTTCTGGAGATCCAGCCCGATACCTGTCAGATACTGCACAACAGCGGATGTGAGTGAGGCACCGTCACAACGGTCAACAGTAACCAGAGTCAAGAACTCTGTAACCACAGTGGTGTGCTGGAAGTACGTGGCGTATAGAATGAGGTGTTTCCCATTCACACGGTCCGTGCTCTCGTCGAGTTGAATCCCTATCCACGGGGATTCGAGCAGGTGCTGGCGCTGTGTCTCTTGAAGGTATGTTGAGAGGGCGCGCATGTTCTCTTTGAAGCCGTAACTGCCAGGGGACATCAAGGGTGGTTAAATACCACATTGGATAATATAGAACACAGCAAAAACACCAAATCAAGTAGTCACTTACTCTGTGTAGTACGCGCCGTAGCCGCCAGCGGGAGGCAGGTCTGGTAACCCCTCCTTCGCCAGAAACCAACACAGCGGGACGAACATCGCTATGGGTGCATCGGCCTTACAGACAAAGTGCGCGATGTGGAGGAGCCGAATGATGTGTCGTGTGGAAGCGTCTGTAGCCTGCCATCGTGTGATTGAGGCCTGCTTCGCCATCTCCGCTTCCGCCTTCTCCTGATTCTCCAACGACTCCTTGTGTGCACGGGAGGAGGTGTGAGCGCGGATGCTGCCAATCTGGAGGTCCCGCGCGCCTTCGCCCTTCGCCCCGTACGCGGTGTGCGCCAGTGGATCTCCATGCTTCACACAAATCGCACACTTCAAAGACGAACGACCGTTAGACATGCGGTGCAAACGTAACCACTTGAAGCTACCTGCCCACTGACCCTCAAACGTCTTCTTCACCGACTCATACTCAGCATCCGCCAGAGCGGTGGGTGGCGTTGGGTCGGCCGAAGGAGCAGGGCGCTTGTGTGAAGTAGCGTTTTTCGGAGGACGGGCGCCCCACAACGTCTGCTGCTTGTACGTAACTCCCACACGCGGTCGCTTGACGGGCGCGGTGCTGACCGTCGAAGGCGAAACAGTAGGCGGCTTTGACGAGCCCTCGCCTCCTCCGGGAACCAAATCTATGTCAGGATGTGGCTCCCACGCCGTGGGTGAGTCTGGCGGCTCGAACGGATAAACCGTTCCTACCACACATTCAGGTGACGGCTCATGAGGTGGCGGCTGAGCGATGGGCACGACGTAGTTCTCGCTAAGGCGTGGTAAAACGCCCAGCACAGAGAGGCCGTTTCTCGCGCCATCAGGTGGATCGGGCTGTCCAGTGGGCATTGTTGAGGTGAAAGTTGGAGCATGGTTGAGAATGAGGGCCAAGCGAGAGACCCCCTCGAAGAGAACGACCCCCGTGGCTGCCTCTCAAGGGCCGTTTCTTCCACGAGGCGCGAAGTGCATGGCCAGCACGGCAGGACTGCTACTGAATTCTGTTGTCAAGGACAGCTTGAAGCTGTCCTTGACAGCAAATTCTGCTGTGTTGGCGGTGGGCGTGGCGACGGGTGGCAAGATTCGAGAATGAGCTGGCAGCCCTGTGTTTGTGGGGGTGTGGTACATTTTGTCACCAAGCGGACTGTGGTCTGATTCGCGTTAGAAAAGTTTCGGTAAAAGGGTAGTGTACACCACACCCAGATTCCGTCAGCATAAACATAAAACCAGTCAGGGTAAAAAAAAACATGTTCTTTTAAGAGAAGGGCAACAAATTCGCATTCCTGATTTTGTCAGGGTAATCCTGAAAAAACGGCCGACCCCCAGGGTAATCAGGGCGTTTTACCCTAATATTTTGGGCCCTGCTGAGAAGCACAACATAAAACTTGGTTTAATCACCTACAGGCATTACTAACATTGTTGTGATTGCAGTTTTTTTAAAAGACTGCACATACCACAACCGACACAAACCGAAAAGGTTTGGCTGCTGAAAGGCAGTCGATTATCTGCCGAAGCGGGGTCCGCTCGCCTCGTGCTACAGAACCATGGGGAGTTGGTCATGTTGTCGTTTCTGTTTATCTTGCTCAACCTTGCTGGCAGTGCCACTAGGGAAGGCTTTCGGTCGTTGAGTGGTCCGCTAATCCTCCCTGTCAACTGTGGCAACGTCACCTTCGACATGACCAGTGCAGCGCCACTTACCGGCCAGCGTGTGCCTGTACATCGTCCCTCCAACGATCAAACCCTAGTTAACATCCAGCGTCCACTCCTCCCAGTCACAACCAACCCCCATAACTCCCCCGCAGTTTGAATTCAACAATTTGAAATCGTGCCCTGGCCTGCCTGTAGTCTGCCTAAAGGAACGCCACGCAAAGGCTTTGCCTGCCAGCCATAAACCGTCGTGATCATTTCTTTTATAGCAGAGGTTCCTGAAACGCGCGGTGTCGCTTGTGATGTTGGACGGGCGATCCGTAGCTATAGCAAGGCTGCTCCCGGTCATCCCCTCGCCGCTGCCAGTGTGTTGTCAGAGCAGCATCCTTATATGCGAGCCGCAGGTCCTTACGACAGAGACAGATGCATTGGCGTACCGCGTATGATGCGGCTCACTATCATAATGCCGAGCCGCAGTGGCTTCCGCCTTGACGTACCGCGTCTGCTGATGCTCATAAGGCCCAAGGGACCTCTGCCTTGTCAAAACGCGTCTGCTGCTGACTTGGCGGTACCGCGTCTGCTGCTCACTTGGCATACCGCATCTGACGCTGCTGCCTTGGCGTACCGCACCCACCTTTCCTTGAGGCCTGTCTTTAAACTAGGTGCTGTAGCAACAGAAGCGGACCCCTCTCGTTCCATAAGAACAAGCTTACATTGGGCGGAGTCCCTGTCATTCATCAGACACCAGCTTCGTGATACCTTTGATACGTTCGAACCCCCAGTGCGCCCTCTCCAAGCTTAGCGAAATGGCCGGCCGTCGCCCTGCTAGAAGGCAAAGATCGCCTACTCCGGAAGGTGAGAATGTCGCCGTGCATACCCTACCGCGTTCTGTTCGCTGATTACACCATGCATGCCCGTCCTGACGGATGTTACTCTAAACCAACGCAACTCTTGTGTTCCCTCCGTGTGGCAGGGAGCCGTGGCTTTCGTAGTCTTAGCGCGGTGAACAATGTTCCGGTGACGACTGAACAGGCAACGACTGAACAGGCGCCTGCCAACAACGACACCAGCGGCCACGCGCCACTACCGCGGACCTCCAGCCTGCAGATGAACGCAGCTGTTCCAGTGGCTGGCGCTTATGCATCACCTGCTGCGTATGGCACACGTAGCACAAGCGCGCGCCGTGGGGCAATCACCAACGCCACGGCTGTTGGTGGTTCCCCTCAGCAGGCGGGGCAGCGTCAGCAATCGGCCGCCACTGGTGGTCGTTCCTCGCAGCAGGCACGGCAGCCCCTTCCTACCGCCGCCGCTGCTGGTCGTTCACTGCAGCAGGGGGGTGTGCATCACTCCTCCGCCTCTGCTGACGGTGCATCACAGCTGCAGGGTTCTCCTCCCCTTCCTACCGCCGCCGCTGCTGGCTTCTCGCATCAGCAGGAGCCGCTGCATCACTCCTCTGCCACTTGTGCCGGTGCATCACAGCTGCAGGGTTCTCCTCCCCTTCCTACCGCCGCTGCTGCTGGCTACTCGCATCAGCAGGAGCTGATGCATCACTCCTCTGCCGCTGCTGCCGGTGCTTCACAGCTGCAGGGTCCTCCTCCCCTTCCTACCGCCGCCGCTGCTGGTCGTTCACTGCAGCAGGGGGGTGTGCATCACTCCTCCGCCTCTGCTGACGGTGCATCACAGCTGCAGGGTTCTCCTCCCCTTCCTACCGCCGCCGTTGCTGGCTTCTCGCATCAGCAGGAGCCGCTGCATCACTCCTCTGCCACTTGTGCCGGTGCATCACAGCTGCAGGGTTCTCCTCCCCTTCCTACCGCCGCTGCTGCTGGCTACTCGCATCAGCAGGAGCTGATGCATCACTCCTCTGCCGCTGCTGCCGGTGCTTCACAGCTGCAGGGTCCTCCTCCCCTTCCTACCGCCGCCGCTGCTAGTCGTTCACTGCAGCAGGGGGGTGTGCATCACTCCTCCGCCTCTGCTGACGGTGCATCACAGCTGCAGGGTTCTCCTCCCCTTCCTACCGCCGCCGCTGCTGGCTTCTCGCATCAGCAGGAGCCGCTGCATCACTCCTCTGCCACTTGTGCCGGTGCATCACAGCTGCAGGGTTCTCCTCCCCTTCCTACCGCCGCTGCTGCTGGCTACTCGCATCAGCAGGAGCTGATGCATCACTCCTCTGCCGCTGCTGCCGGTGCTTCACAGCTGCAGGGTCCTCCTCCCCTTCCTACCGCCGCCGCTGCTGGTCGTTCACTGCAGCAGGGGGGTGTGCATCACTCCTCCGCCTCTGCTGACGGTGCATCACAGCTGCAGGGTCCACCTCCCCTTCCTACCGCCGCTACTGCTGGCTACTCGCATCAGCAGGAGCTGATGCATCACTCCTCTGCCGCTGCTGACGGTGCTTCACAGCTGCAGGGTTCTCCTCCCCTTCATACCGCCGCCGCTGCTGGATACTCGAGTCAGCAGGAGCTGCTGCATCACTCCTCTGCCGCTGCTGCCGGTGCCTCACAGCTGCAGGGTTCTCCTCCCCGTCCTACCGCCGCCGCTGTTGGATACTCGAGTCAGCAGGAGCCGCTGCATCACTCCTCTGCCGCTGCTGCCGGTGCCTCACAGCTGCAGGGTTCTCCTCCCCTTCCTACCGCCGCCGCTGCTGGATACTCGAGTCAGCAGGAGCCGCTGCATCACTCCTCTGCCGCTGCTGCCGGTGCTTCACTGCTGCAGGGTCCTCCTCCCCTTCCTACCCCCGCCGCTGCTGGCTACTCGCCTCAGCAGGAGGACCTGCATCTGCCTACCGCTGCCTCTGCTTTTGATATCTGGCTGCAGGGACCTCCTCCCCTTCCTACCACCGCTGATGCTGGTTTCGCTGCTGAGCAGGGGGGAATGCATCAGTTTACAGCTGCCGCTGATCCTGGGTGCGTCTCGCATGAACCTCAGCCTCTTGCCTCCGCTGCAGCAGCTGGTCAGTACACTCAACAGGGTAGTAACCAGTACACAACAAATGCCGCCACCGTAGCAGCTCCATTCGACAATAGCCAGCCGCCCAGCAGGCCTATCAGCCCTCCCTCTGCCCATCGTATGGAGGGAATGGCAACTGAGGATGGTCCATCCTCTCCATTTGCGCTGCCGAACCATACTAGAGTACCTACAAGGGGGGTAGTGGCAAACCCTGCACCGGAAAGAGAGCCTGTTTATGTGGCCGCCTTCCAGACTCACCTCGGGGAAACTTTGGGCCCAGCACCACCCACGGGAGACGGTGCTGCTGTTGGAAGGGCAGAGTTCGATGCCATGATGGCGGAGGTTAGACGGCTGCAACGTGAGAACCTGACCTTGCAGAATCAGGTTGCAGCATACGGTCGTTCACAATCACCATCCCCGTCATCATCTTCCGATGATGACGACGAACATGCATCCCCCCGAGCACCACCCTCCCAACCCCTAGGTGTCCCGGCTCAGAGGGCGCAGCCGCAAGTGATCCTTGCCAACCGGCGTACTGTGGGAACAGCAGTTGGCGAGGCACACAACATGGGCATCGCTCCGGACTACAACACAATTGCGCCGGATCTCGAACCGTTCGCGACAAAGTTGGCCGCAGCCATGAAGACGATTCCACCTGCTAATGGTGGCTTGTATGTAAGTTTAGGTATATGCATATTAATTCTGTTCTTGTCGCCCAACATAGCCTCGGTATTTGCTTATCATGTGCTTGCAACTACCCCAAACCCGAAACCCTTCTCCCATCACGCACACTGCCCCCAACTATTATCTATGCCTATTAGCATTCCAAGCTCACTTGCTGCCCACCACCCTCAAGCCTAACCGAAACCCCAATTGATGTGAGCGTGATAATCCGTTCGTTGCTAATCTACCTTTCTTCTAACTCCAGGTTGTCATGTCTGACACAATCGAGATCCTAGTGTACAAGACGCCAAATGGTCAAGTGGATTTCTGGCCTGCACGGCAGAGCTTGCTCGCGGCGATGTTAACGGCCATGAAATGCACGACACCGGAGCAGAGGTGGAACCTGCTGCACGTCTACCTCTACGATCAAGTGCGCCGCACCTACATTCACAACAAGCTGCAGGACATGCGCAATGAAAATCTCACCAAAGGCCGTTGTGGCGTTATCAACGGCTTTGACATTGCGATAGCCAGGCCTGACCAAAAAAGGAAAGTTCTTGGCACCACCTCGGTGTCGTCATTTCTGACGACTTTTAGAGCCGGTAAGAATCACCTTATTGTGTGCCCTTTACACCAAACGCCCTTTGCCCGTTACACGCATTGGTTGTGCTCATTGGCCCCAAAATGTTGTTCTTGTACCTCAAAGGTGGTGCGCATTGGAGGTGGTGCAGGGATGCCACTTCACCTCTGTGGGCTATGCATTGGCTGGGGCCTCCTCTCTGTAGTGCCCCTACTCATGGCTCCCCCCCCTTGTGTTTTTCCCCCATCGTTTGTCTCTGCAGGTGCGCATTGGAGGTGGTGCAGGGCTGCCACCTCACCTCTGTGGGCTATGCATTGGCTGGGGCCTCCTCTCTGTAGTGCCCCTACTAATGGTTCCCCCCCCTTGTGTTTTTCCCCCCATCGTTTGTCTCTGCAGGTGCGCATTGGAGATGGTGCAGGGCTGCCACTTCACCTCTGAGGGCTATGCATTGGCTGGGGCCTCCTCTCTGTAGTGCCCCTACTCATGGCTCCCCACCCTTGTGTTTTTCCCCCCATCGTTTGTCTCTGCAGTTGAGTATTGGAGGTGGTGCAGGGCTGCCACTTCACCTCTGTGGGCTATGCATTGGCTGGGGCCTCCTCTCTGTAGTGCCCCTACTAATGGTTCCCCCCCGTGTGTTTTTTCCCCCATCGTTTGTCTCTGCAAGTGCGCATTGGAGATGGTGCAGGGCTGCCACTTCACCTCTGTGGGCTATGCATTGGCTGGGGCCTCCTCTCTGTAGTGCCCCTACTCATGGCTCCCCCCCCTTGTGTTTTTCCCCCCATCGTTTGTCTCTGCAGGTGCTCATTGGAGGTGGTGCAGGGATGCCACTTCACCTCTGTGGGCTATGCATTGGCTGGGGCCTCCTCTCTGTAGTGCCCCTACTCATGGCTCCCCCCCCTTGTGTTTTTCCACCCATCGTTTGTCTCTGCAGGTGCGTATTGGAGGTGGTGCAGGGCTGCCACTTCACCTCTGTGGGCTATGCATTGGCTGGGGCCTCCTCTCTGTAGTGCCCCTACTCATGGCTCCCCCCCCTTGTGTTTTTTCCCCCATCGTTTGTCTCTGCAGGTGCACATTGGAGGTGGTGCAGGGCTGCCACTTCACCTCTGTGGGCTATGCATTGGCTGGGGCCTCCTCTCTGTAGTGCCCCTACTAATGGTTCCCCCCCGTGTGTTTTTCCCCCCATCGTTTGTCTCTGCAGGTGCGCATTGGAGATGGTGCAGGGCTGCCACTTCACCTCTGTGGGCTATGCATTGGCTGGGGCCTCCTCTCTGTAGTGCCCCTACTAATGGTTCCCCCCCGTGTGTTTTTTCCCCCATCGTTTGTCTCTGCAAGTGCGCATTGGAGATGGTGCAGGGATGCCACTTCACCTCTGTGGGCTATGCATTGGCTGGGGCCTCCTCTCTGTAGTGCCCCTACTAATGGTTCCCCCCTGTGTGTTTTTTCCCCCATCGTTTGTCTCTGCAAGTGCGCATTGGAGATGGTGCAGGGCTGCCACTTCACCTCTGTGGGCTATGCATTGGCTGGGGCCTCCTCTCTGTAGTGCCCCTACTCATGGCTCCCCCCCCTTGTGTTTTTCCACCCATCGTTTGTCTCTGCAGGTGCGTATTGGAGGTGGTGCAGGGCTGCCACTTCACCTCTGTGGGCTATGCATTGGCTGGGGCCTCCTCTCTGTAGTGCCCCTACTCATGGCTCCCCTGCCTTGTGTTTTTCCCCCCATCGTTTGTCTCTGCAGGTGCGCATTGGAGGTGGTGCAGGGATGCCACTTCACCTCTGTGGGCTATGCATTGGCTGGGGCCTCCTCTCTGTGGTGCCCCTACTCATGGCTCCCCCCCCTTGTGTTTTTCCCCCCATCGTTTGTCTCTGCAGGTGCGTATTGGAGGTGGTGCAGGGCTGCCACTTCACCTCTGTGGGCTATGCATTGGCTGGGGCCTCCTCTCTGTAGTGCCCCTACTCATGGCTCCCCTGCCTTGTGTTTTTCCCCCCCATCGTTTGTCTCTGCAGGTGCGCATTGGAGGTGGTGCAGGGATGCCACTTCACCTCTGTGGGCTATGCATTGGCTGGGGCCTCCTCTCTGTAGTGCCCCTACTCATGGCTCCCCCCCCTTGTGTTTTTCCCCCCATCGTTTGTCTCTGCAGGTGCGCATTGGAGGTGGTGCAGGGCTGCCACTTCACCTCTGTGGGCTATGCATTGGCTGGGGCCTCCTCTCTGTAGTGCCCCTACTAATGGTTCCCCCCCGTGTGTTTTTCCCCCCATGGTTTGTCTCTGCAGGTGCGCATTGGAGGTGGTGCAGGGCTGCCACTTCACCTCTGTGGGCTATGCATTGGCTGGGGCCTCCTCTCTGTAGTGCCCCTACTAATGGTTCCCCCCCGTGTGTTTTTCCCCCCATCGTTTGTCTCTGCAGGTGCGCATTGGAGATGGTGCAGGGCTGCCACTTCACCTCTGAGGGCTATGCATTGGCTGGGGCCTCCTCTCTGTAGTGCCCCTACTCATGGCTCCCCCCCCTTGTGTTTTTCCCCCCATCGTTTGTCTCTGCAGGTGCGCATTGGAGGTGGTGCAGGGCTGCCACTTCACCTCTGTGGGCTATGCATTGGCTGGGGCCTCCTCTCTGTAGTGCGCCTACTACTGGTTCCCCCCCGTGTGTTTTTCCCCCCATCGTTTGTCTCTGCAGGTGCCCTCACAAGGTGGTGCAGGGATGCCACTTCACCTCTGTGGGCTATGCATTGGCTGGGGCCTCCTCTCTGTAGTGCCCCTACTAATGGTTCCCCCCCGTGTGTTTTTTCCCCCATCGTTTGTCTCTGCAAGTGCGCATTGGAGATGGTGCAGGGCTGCCACTTCACCTCTGTGGGCTATGCATTGGCTGGGGCCTCCTCTCTGTAGTGCCCCTACTCATGGCTCCCCCCCCTTGTGTTTTTCCCCCCATCGTTTGTCTCTGCAGGTGCTCATTGGAGGTGGTGCAGGGATGCCACTTCACCTCTGTGGGCTATGCATTGGCTGGGGCCTCCTCTCTGTAGTGCCCCTACTCATGGTTCCCCCCCGTGTGTTTTCCCCCCCATCGTTTGTCTCTGCAGGTGCGCATTGGAGGTGGTGCAGGGATGCCACTTCACCTCTGTGGGCTATGCATTGGCTGGGGCCTCCTCTCTGTAGTGCCCCTACTCATGGCTCCCCCCCCTTGTGTTTTTCCCCCCATCGTTTGTCTCTGCAGGTGCGCATTGGAGGTGGTGCAGGGCTGCCACTTCACCTCTGTGGGCTATGCATTGGCTGGGGCCTCCTCTCTGTAGTGCCCCTACTAATGGTTCCCCCCCGTGTGTTTTTCCCCCCATCGTTTGTCTCTGCAGGTGCGCATTGGAGATGGTGCAGGGCTGCCACTTCACCTCTGAGGGCTATGCATTGGCTGGGGCCTCCTCTCTGTAGTGCCCCTACTCATGGTTCCCCCCCGTGTGTTTTCCCCCCCATCGTTTGTCTCTGCAGGTGCGCATTGGAGGTGGTGCAGGGCTGCCACTTCACCTCTGTGGGCTATGCATTGGCTGGGGCCTCCTTTCTGTAATGCCCCTACTCATGGCTCCCCCCCCTTGTGTTTTTTCCCCCATCGTTTGTCTCTGCAGGTGCGCATTGGAGGTGGTGCAGGGCTGCCACTTCACCTCTGTGGGCTATGCATTGGCTGGGGCCTCCTCTCTGTAGTGCCCCTACTCATGGCTCCCCCCCCTTGTGTTTTTCCCCCCATCGTTTGTCTCTGCAGGTGCGCATTGGAGGTGGTGCAGGGCTGCCACTTCACCTCTGTGGGCTATGCATTGGCTGGGGCCTCCTCTCTGTAGTGCCCCTACTAATGGTTCCCCCCCGTGTGTTTTCCCCGCCATCGTTTGTCTCTGCAAGTGCGCATTGGAGGTGGTGCAGGGATGCCACTTCACCTCTGTGGGCTATGCATTGGCTGGGGCCTCCTCTCTGTAGTGCCCCTACTCATGGCTTCCCCCCCTTGTGTTTTTCCCCCATCGTTTGTCTCTGCAGGTGCGCATTGGAGGTGGTGCAGGGCTGCCACTTCACCTCTGTGGGCTATGCATTGGCTGGGGCCTCCTCTCTGTAGTGCCCCTACTCATGGCTTCCCCCCCTTGTGTTTTTCCCCCATCGTTTGTCTCTGCAGGTGCGCATTGGAGGTGGTGCAGGGCTGCCACTTCACCTCTGTGGGCTATGCATTGGCTGGGGCCTCCTCTCTGTAGTGCCCCTACTCATGGCTTCCCCCCCTTGTGTTTTTCCCCCATCGTTTGTCTCTGCAAGTGCGCATTGGAGGTGGTGCAGGGCTGCCACTTCACCTCTGTGGGCTATGCATTGGCTGGGGCCTCCTCTCTGTAGTGCCCCTACTCATGGCTCCCCCCCCTTGTGTTTTTCCCCCCATCGTTTGTCTCTGCAGGTGCGAATTGGAGGTGGTGCAGGGCTGCCACTTCACCTCTGTGGGCTATGCATTGGCTGGGGCCTCCTCTCTATAGTGCCCCTACTCATGGTCCCCCCCCCCTGTGTGTTTTTCCCCCCATCCTTTGTCTGTGCAGGTGCGCATTGGAGGTGGTGCAGGGCTGCATCCTCACTTCTATGGGCTACGCATTGGTTGGGAGCCTCCTCTTAGTAGTGCCCTCTCCCCACACATAGTGTCCCCCCTGTTGTTTTCCGCCCCCATCCTTTGACTCTTCAGGTGCGCCTTGTAGGTGTTGCTGCTCATTGTCTGGCACAGTCTTATCTTCTCCTGTTCTCTTGCCGCACAACATGCCTTGTATGATTTGCCCTGAGGGTGTGTTCTATGGCCCATGCAGTGAATGGGTCATTCGGACTACTGACGTGGCATGTGAACCGCCGTGGTGTGCCGTTTGCGACAGCGGTTTTTGTCCGAAGCATCGCTGCGTCGTTTGCTCGTCCAGGGCACTCGGTGGTGGTGCTGAAAGTGATTCATATCGCATTTTGGCTGTTCGGGGTGAGTTCTGTTTTGTGTACTGAGTACTAGCTGAAAATCTTTGTCGGTTGTCTAATGTCTTCTTAAGATTTGAGTTTGTGTGGTTCGCAGGTGGAGCACAAACTGAAGAAAGGGACCGACCTTTCCAAGAGCACAAAGGAGAACCGTGACGGCGTGGCAATTTATCACCGTGCCGTCAAGGATTGGGTCAATGCAGCTATTTCTATTGCCAACAATGTGAGGGGTCCCTGGTGGAACAACCGCTACTCTGCTTGGAAGTTTTCTAGTGAAACGAACAGTGTGTTTATCAGCGATGATGGGTTGGATGACTGAAGCTAGCTACAACACCGTTATTTAATACTAATTCTGTAGTTATTATTATTGTATGTGTATTGGTACAATATTAGGTAGAGTGAGCTATATGTGGATCTGGCATCTTGCCTGTAGTAATTATTAAATAAAGAATTTCAACATGAATATGTTGAGGATTTATACAATTTTAATAATATATGCAGCTGAACAATGATAATAGCGAATTATGGTTTTATCAAAAATATTCATGCACAGTGAGTTCAGCGAAAATCAAAACTGAAATATATATTGACCAATAATGACTGAACTAAAAAGGTGACCGGCCACTTGTATTATCGGAAAATTCAACAGACCGTACAGTTGTGCGATGCCCATCAGGGCGTCAAGTTACCACTACTAAAACCAGCCAGTCAGATCCTAAACACTCAAGTTCGCGCACCACTGATGTAAGCGAGCGATGCCAGCAATCACGCACATTAAGGCATCAGATTTGTTTGACTCCAATCCAGAACATTCATATCTTGCGCGGGAAAATCTCCACCCGTGTGTGAACAAACGAGTGCCATACACGTCATGATTTCTGATTCGTTGACCAATTCAAAGTTACGAGAGGGTAAGTCTCAACAGGTTAGAGATGAGCGGTTGTGATTCGTCGCGATCAAGTGCATCCCAATCGAAGTGTCCCACGGGTAAGTTTTTGAGTGTCATCTGGGTATGCTGTGTTCAACCAACCTGCGAGACACTCGCAGGAAGGTTTTCAGTAACTTTCCCAGCCCCGTTTTTTTGTGATGTATCTTTTTGTCCGCGGGTTCAGGGCGATGGGGTGGTTGGACTGGAGCTGATATAATCCGGCGATGTTGGGTTGATGGGTCGGAGTGAGTGTGATTAGGGTCCGCGATGTGTGGCGAAAGGAATATCGCGCTCGAGATGAGACTGTCGGTACAGCACAGTGGCAGCACGGCAGCACCACGTGCTGCTCGCACGAGAGTGCAGTCATGCCATGCCTTGCCGTGCCTTGCCTTGGTAAAGCGGCATGACCCTGCTTTTTTCTCCTCTTCTTTCTGCACAATCATTCCTTGCCTTTGTGGTTTCGACGCCCTGCTCTCTCGCTCTACCGCCGTCTGCTGCCCCCCTCAGCGCAACTCATATCACAGCACACTCCAACGCAGCCCACTCTCGCAGGAGCAGCCACAACAGCAGCAACCACAGCAGCAACACTGGCAGCACCAGCACCTTTGCCAGTAGCAGCAGCGGCAGCGCTTGCAAGATCAGGAGTGATTGCAGCAGTCCCATCCGTCGCTCGCTCCGTTGCCCTAACACACCCTCTTCTCCGCGGCTCCTCTTCCCAGACTCGAATCTCTGGCGGTTGGCACGCCGGGGAAGGTAGCAGGCGCATAGTAAGGGGCGCAGAGAGCGGAGCAGGGGGAGTAGCGAGTGACGGTCGAGGAGGGGAAGGAGCAGGCGGACGAGCGGACACACGAAGGGGAAAAGAGGTGCAGGAGAGGGCGGAAGGCGCAAGATCAACACGGGAGATGGCAGACGCAGAGGCTGATGCGCGTGCGTTTGCTGCAGCAGAGGAGGCTGCAGCTGCCGCCACTGGCTCTGCTGCCAGTGGCCCTACAGGGAGTCACGCGGAGGAGGAGGAGGAAGCGCCTGTGTCACCGCGGTCCCCAACGCCACTGCCAACAGCGCATGTGGAGGTGGAGGAGGCGGAGGTGGCATCGAAGCAGGAGCTGGTGGCCCTGCTGAAGCAGCACGAGGCCACGCGCACCAATGTGTTCCTGCTCTTCCTCGCAGACCACGTGCCCTCCACTAACCGCTCCTGGTGCCCTGGTACCCTCACGTGCCTTCTGCCCTGCCTTGCTGCCTCCTAGGAGATGTGTGCGTTGGCAATTATATGCGTACCCCCACGCACGTAGTTTGTACCCCCACAGCAGGAAGATACGTGCATGCAAGAAGGCCAAGAGTTGGGGTGTGGTGGGTGCGCTTCCCCCACATACCCTGCTGCTCTGTTCATTGCCATCACCATCACCATTGCTTTGACTTCTTGCGTAATGCCCACTCCTCGCTCCCCCCTCATATATCTTTCTTGTTGCCATATTGCTTGGCGTGCCTCCCTGGCACCATTGTTGCAATTTACTGACGTCATTACCATGCGTATGCCCATCACCATCATCACCGTCATCACCATCATCACCATCATCACCATCACCATCATCACCATCATCACCATCCTCATGAGTTCCCGTGGGATTCCCAGCGGTTCATGTATATCGACTTGAACTTGCTTTTTCTCCACATGACCTTCTTAACCTAGCTGCCTCCTCTCCCCTGCTCTACACTCCACTGCCCAACTTTCCTCCACCCTTCTCTCCCCACCCTTTCCCCCCCTCCCCTCCCCCCCTCCCCTTCCCCCTTCCCGTTCTTCCACTCGCCTTCTCCCCTCGCCCTCGGTGTGTGCCAGACTGTCGCAAGTCGGAGCCAGTGGTAGCCACAGCAGTCGCCACTCTACGCAGCAACCCCATCACAGCGCCAGGCCCAGTCCCCACGGCACTACTGGTGCGCGTGTGGGCGGGGGATCGCCCCACCTGGAAGAGCCCGCTCAACCCCTTCCGCTCGCCCCCGTTTGCTGTCCGGGGCGTGCCCACGCTCATGCACTGGGACTGGGCGGCCGCTCCTGCTGCTCCTCATCAAGCTGCCCTGCCTGCTGCAGCTGATGCATCGGCTTTGCCTGCTGCTGGTGATAGTGGTGGTGGGGGGGATGGGGGGGTGCAGGGTGCGCCGGGGAGGCAGCTAGGGGAGTATGAGACGCGCAAGGTGCGGCTGGTGATGGAGCTCATGGTGCACGCAGGGCAGTGACGAGCAGGGCAGTGACGAGCAGGGCAGTGACGTGCAGGGCAGTGACGTGCAGGGCAGTGACGTGCAGGGCATGGCGGTAGTGGGAGAGGAGGGAGGAATGATGCATCGTGTCATGTAAGGTGCTGGTGCTGGTGATGCTGGTGGTGATAACTGATAGTGGTATTGTCACTGAATTGATGATGATGAGTACAGTGGTAAGGAGGAAAGTGCTGTGTGTCAGACTTCAAACCTTGGTTGCTTGAGTACCAGGCCTCTGGATAGGATTTGGGGTACTCTTTCTCGTAAGGCCAACACCCAGCCTTGACTCTTTCAGTAAGGGTGCTTCACAAAAACTGCTCTTAAAAATCAGGGTGCAAACAAATCTAATCATTCATCTATTATTTTTACTCTCCATAGTATGTAGGATGTTGATGTGGCAGTGTGTTGAGTAGTCACAATTATGTGGAGGCCCCGAGTTTTAAACCCAGCGCAGGCATCCTGTGCAAATAATACGTTTTACGCAACCAATCCTGGTATCCTCTCTTAGATCGAACTCGATTTCATCAGTGCTACTACACCACATAGCTCTGAAATATCAGTGTCGTATAATCGATCACTTTTTTTTGTAAGGGTCTAAAACAAAACCAGTCTTGTAAAAAAGGGTGCATAGTCAAACCCACCCTTATAGTAAGGGTCATAAGGGTGAATCACCCTGATATCGAGAGGCCTGTTGAGTACACAGTTAATGGTCTTTTATTGAAAGGATTATATTCCATATTTGTTTGCTTGCTGGTTCATACGGCATCTACAGAACTTAGGAACAGTGATCAGTGATACAAATTACAGAAACGGAACGAAAAAAAAGGCTAAAGAAGGAAAGCCACAGGAACACGGATTCGTAGTTACACATGATATGGTACAACTGTAAAAGGAACCCACCCACCCACCCATCACACAGCTTGCCCATGTAGCAGCAGCTCCAGCACCCTCCTTGTCAGACTCCCCTCACCACCACACCAGCACGCTGCAGCTCCCACCTCGTCCTCTCAGACACCTTCTCTGCCTCCACCTTCACCTGCCGCAGCCTAGGGAAGCTTCCCAGAAGCCCTCCAACCCCAACAGCAGTGACACGGGTGCATGCGATGATCATGGCTTGGGTGAGAGAGTGGATTGGGCATGCTAGAAGCAGGGCATCGGAGTTGGCATCACAGTGCTCTACTCTCAGCTGCTCCTCCCCCACCCCACCGCACCGCGCCACTGCCGACCACCTCAGCCTGCCAAACACAGAAGCCAGGACGACACTCTCAAACGACTGCCGCTGCTGATTGGCACGGCTAGCAAGCGCAGGGGAGGGGGGGAGGGACAGGGAGCAGGATGATGCACCTGCTCTGGCATGGGAAGTGAGGGATGGGGAGGAGGTGTAGAGGGGGGGTTATCGGGCAGGCAGGGTGAGGTGGGAGCAGCAGTGAAGTCAAGTTTTTCCCACACGAGACAGTCCAGACAAGGGCTCGTTGCTGCCACCCGTGCCGTGCTTGCCGGCCAGGCCTCCTCTACTTCCTCCTGCTCCCCCTCCCCTTGCACACCAGCCACAGCACCAGCAGCAGCACCACCAGCACCAGCACCAGCAGCAGCAGCAACACCAGCAGCAGCAGCAGCAGCAGCGGCGGCGGCGGCGGCGGCGGCGGCGGCCGCGGCGGCGGGGGCGGCGGGGGCGGCGGCGGCGGCGGCGGCGGCGGCGGCAGCAGCAGCAGCCCCAGCACTGACAGCAGCAGCACGTGGGGCGAGCATGGACTCGAGTCCGTCCACCATGGCGGATGACTGCACTCTCAGCCGCTCCATCAGCCACGGCACCACCTCCACCAACCCTGCGCGTGACTGCGCTGCCACCCTCGCCCACTCCTCCTCCTCCTCCTCCTCCTCCTCCTCCTCCTCCTCCTCCTCCTCCTCCTCCTCCTCCTCCTCCTCCTCCTCCTCCTCCTCCTCCTCCTCCTCCTACCCCACGCTCTCCACTGAGAACCTGCCCCCCCACCGACAGTACCCCCCCTGAATCCCCCCCTCCCCCACCAGCACCGTCCTGCACCATCCCCCCCTGAATCGGGAGCGTGGGGAGCGTGGTGGTGGGCGAGGTGGAGGGCGTGGTGGAGGGCGAGGTGGAGGGCGTGGTGGAGGGCGAGGTGGAGGGAGAGGTGGTGGGAGTAGGCTGCGCTGAGGTACTGCTTGGCCGCTCTGACCAGTTGGAACACGTCCTTGCACGCCGCGCTCGTGTCCGCACTTGCTGCTGCCAGCGCTGCACGGATGTCGCTGTACTCAATCCTCGCGCCACCAATGCTAACCCCTGCTGCTGCACCCTCGGGTGGTGTGGCTGCTGTTGCTGCGGCTACAACTCCCCACCTGTTGCCTCCTGTTCTTTACCTAACTCAACTCCTCTATCTCCACCTTCCCCTCTCACCCGTCTTCCTCCAACCCCTCCATTCCCTCCTCTCTTTCCCCCACCCTCCCCTCCTCCTCCCCTTCCCTCCCTTCCTCCCTCTGCCCCACCCGCCCCTGCCGCCTCCTCCTCGCCCCCCCCACCATGCACGTGCACGAGCATGGCAAGCAGCTCCTCCAGCGGCCCCTGGGCGCCCCTCACAGTGAGCGACCGCGGGCTACTGCAGCGCGCCAGCAAGCCAGGGCGGAAGGACGGCAGGCCGGAGAGAGAGAGAGCGCGAGCAGCTTCCCTGCTGTCAGGCCCAGCAGCACGGTCGCCAGCCCTGCAACACTGTACATGCGGTAGCGTTTGCTGCTGAGGGAGAGGGAACAGAGGGCGGGATTGGCTCGCACAAGGGCGGAGAGCGAGCGGGAGCAGACGAGCGGGCAATCGTCAATGGTGAGGTGCGTGAGAGTGTGCAGCGCGCGCGCGAGTGTGTGCAGCTCGTATGGGTTGAAGGTGCAGGCGATGAGAGGGAGCGAGGCGAGGGATGAGAAGGAGGAGAGGAGAGGCAGGGACGCATCAAGGTCTGCAGAGTGGATGGTGAGGGAGGTGAGGGAGAGGGGGAGGGAGGAGGAGGGGGAGGAGGAGGAGGAGGAGGGGGAGGTGAGGGAGGAGCAGCGCGAGAGGGGGCAGGCGTCCTGGGGGACGAGGCGGAGGGTGAGCTCGTGCAGGGCGGGGAGCGCGTGCAGGGGGGGGAGTGGGAGGGGGAGGTAGAGGCGCGTGTTGCGCGAGAAGGTGGATTCCAGCTCCAACAAGACCAGCGCGCTGGGGGGAGGGGGAAGGGGACGGGGGAAGAGGAGAAGGGGGAGGGGAAGGGGAGGCAGAGGAGAAGGAGGCGAAGGTGGGCGGGTGTCAGCCGGGGATGGTTCAGAAATACCGGCGAAGAAACAGAGCAGGGGAAGGGAAAGCGGGTAGGGAGGAGGGTACGGGCCTGGGGAGAGAGCTTAGAGGGGGAAAGGAAACGAGGGGTGGGGGGATTTGCGGGGGGAGGGAAAGAAACGGGGGGGGGGGGGGGGGGGGGGGGGGGGTAGAGAAGAAGCGGCACTCGATTTGTCTGCGAATCCGTGCACTCACGGGCATTGCTTGGGCAAATTTCTCCCACGCACTTGCGCTCATGTCGAAATCCCCCTGTGCCACCAGCTTAAGACTTTCCAATCTCGGGCAGCCCGCGCCAATACCCTCCAGCAGCTGGCTCCCCAAACCCACGCTGAATTCCACGGTTAAACTGGTGATGCGGGTAAATACCCTTGAACCCGTCAAGATCTTGCAGCCATTCCCAAGGCTGCACGAGCGCTTCGACCTCGAGGCGGAGCGAGTGTGGCGCGCGGCGCAGCACCGCGTGGACTCTAGAAAATTCGACCCCCCAGAATGTCCCCTCAAACTCACCCCGAGGTTAACCCTAGGTATGCTTGGGGGAGGTAACCTGTGGGTGTTAGACAAGGTTACCTTGCAGGTAAGAGGTAACCTCAGGGGTAACCATAAAGGTCACCTCAGGTTCGCCCACTGTGGTTACACTCAACTCACCCACTGTAGATAATTGAGATAAGGATAAAAGAGTATGATTGCACAATAGAATAAGACAAGAGTGAACAGTGGAATTGTAGCAAATGAGGATGAGCTTGATAGAAGAGAAGATGATACTTAGAACTTGTGACTATAAAGAGAAACTTGTGTAAGGTGGAATGCTTGATGAGATAAGAACTCAAAAAAAGGAGAACGAGAGTATGAGCTTGTTGAGAGAATAAGAGAGGTGATAAGCACTTACTTAAGTGAATCTTACTAGGGATAGTTGTAGAGGTGACTTGTAGGAATGGCTTGGTCTTGAGAGCTTTACTTGAAGAAGAACATCAAGCTTGGTGTTGGGTGATGATCCTTCCTCAAGCTTGTAGGAAGTAATGAACCTTATACTCAAGTAGAGTATGAGGTGACTACTCTTCACTTGATGCTTAACTTTGTAGACTAATGAGAGACACTTTGTGAGCATAAACTTATATTGAAAGAGGTATAGTACAAGCCTTATAGATCCATGAGGGATACATAGGCATGCATAGAGAGAGTAACCATCAATGGTAGCCTTGGAAGAGAGTTGCATGAGAGTATCAACTTTTGGAGACATAGAACTTGGTTGCTAGTGAGGAGCCTTTGTAGTAGAAGAGGAGCTTGAAGGAGAAGCTTGGAAATGAGCTTGGTGAAGAAGCTTGGAATGCATTGTTGTCATTGAAGAACCTTCTTGAGAAGTTGTAGAGATGCTTGATGTAGATGAATAGTATTGGAGCATGTGATGGTGGTTGAGCACTTGATGAGTTGGAGAAGCCTTGTTGAGTTGGAAGAGAGCTTAGTGAGTTGGATAAGGATGAGTGGAGGAGATGATGAGCTTTGTTGCCTTGTAATAGGAGGTGATGGGATAATCATGAAGTCCTTAGGGATGAGGTGGCAACTTTGGTGACTTGGGAAAGGAAGGAAGGAAGGAATAAATGAGAGGCATGTGGAGGTTGATGACTAGGAAGTGGAAGCATGTGCTTGAAGGCACATGGGAGGAGGATAATTGGAGGAGGTAGATGACTTGGGTAAACTTTGATGAGTAGGAAAGGAAAGCACATGGAAAATCATGAGGAGTCATGTGCTTTATGGTGGGACTTGAGGATGAGTATGGGAAGTTGGTTTGAATATTGGTTGAGTTGGACTAGGAAAGTCTATGGTGGTTGGGAGTAGTCAAAGAGGTGGTTGATAGGCTTGAGTTGGAGAGGATGAGTTGGAAAAAGGAGTTTGTAACTTGAGTGGTTGGAATAGGCTTTGGAGGAGTTGAGTGGTTTGGATGGGTTCTTGGGAAAATGTGTCGAGGGTGTTTTGAGGGGAAGGGGTTGGAGTGGCACAGTAGCGTGGCACGTGAAGAGCGTGCCATTCACAACACCCACAACTTATCCACAACTCACCCGCAAGAAACCTCACCCAAAATCGACCTGCCTTCTGATTGGCGTTCAGCGCCTCGATGCGAGAGCAGGCGAGCGCGACGGCGGAGCGATCGGACGGATGGTTGACGCGCGTGAGGATGTCTCGTCCGGGAGGGCGAATAAGTAGCGAAGAGCAATGTGCTTCGTACTGTGCTCCAGTCTGTGCTCCCGACACAAGGCCAGCATGGCCTTGTTGTCTACGTACAGAACTGGAGGAGAACGAGGCTGCTCTCCTAGGTCAGTCAGCAGGTAGGTGAGCCAGCGTAGCTCCTGTGCAGCCACGGCCCCCGCGTAGATCTAAGCCTCACAGCTGGAGCCGAGAACAGAAGACGAGCAGGTAGACCGCCACGAAACAGAGCCGGAACCAAGGCTGAAGGTGTAACCCTGTGACGACCGCTGCGTAGCCTGGTCGTCAGCCCAAGAAGCGTCTGCGTGACCTGTGAGGACTACTGAACGCCGCCCTCCAAGCACTAGCCCCATGCCCGACGTACTGCACAAGTAGCGCAACACCCTCTTTGCTGCAGCCATGTGCTCTAGTCGGTGTCTCCCAGGAGCAACATAGCGTGCCAAGATGCTAAGAGGGAATGCAATGTCAGGTCGAGTGCAGGTCATCAAGTACATGAGGCAGCCAACAAGCTCTGGGTACGGGCCACTCGGCTCTACGGACTCATCCGAAGGCAGAGCTGAGAGCGAGTGGCGGGTAGATAGAGGAGTGGCCTGAGGCGAGGAGTACGTGAAGTCGAAGCGCTGAAGGACCTGCTGCACCATGTGTAACTCAGTCAGGGTAATGGTGTGCTGTGCTCTGTCCCGGGTGATCTGCAAGCCAAGGTAGCTCCGCAGTTCACCCAGGTCTGTGCACGTGTGTCTCTTCTGCAGCTCGGACTTCACGTGGGCGAGTCCAGCAGTGTCAGCAGTGGCAAAGACCAAGTCGTCGACGTACACGAGGATGTAGAACGGCGGCAGCGAAGTGTCGGTGCGTAGAAACAGCGACGGGTTGGCAGTAGAAGGAGTAAACCCAAGAGCCGCAAGTGTAGTCCTCAGTGTGTCGTGCCACTCACGGGGCGCCTGGCAGAGACCGTAGACTGGCCGCCGGAGGCTCCACTGGGTACCAGGAGGAAACGACCCAGTGAAGCCAGGTGGGCGGCGCAGCCAGATCTCCTCGTGCAGGCTGCCCTGCAAGAAAGCTGTGCTGAAGTCAAGAGATTGAAGCTCGTAGTCGCGCTAAGCGGCTATGTGCACCAGCACCCGAAGAGTGGTCATCTTCGGGGTGGGAGAGAAGGTCTGAAAGTAGTCAACTCCCTGCCACTGACTGAAGCCTCGAGCCACGTAACGCGCCTTGAAGACAAGCGGAGAACCCGGCGGCCGCTTCACCCTGAAAATCCACATGCCACTAACGATGTTCGCCCCAGGTGGGGGAACCTCATCGACGTAGGTGCCTGTGGACTTCCAGGAAGCCATCTCTGCGTCCATGGCTGACTGCCACTGTGAGGAGTAGGGACCCTCGATCGCCTTAGCATACGATCGAAGAGTCGGGATGTCTGGTGCATCCGGTTCTCCCTCAGGGGCAATCATCATGGACACGAGATGAGGCAAAGCAGCAGCAAAACACTGGAACTCCTCCTGCCTGTCCTCAAGGACATCCGTGCTAAGAGCACACTCACCCCCGACAGACGGAGGACAGACAGACTCAGACTCAGCATCAAGACTAGCAGCGTAGTCTAGACGACAGCGAGCAGCAAAGTCGACAAGCTCAGCAACTAAGGCTGACGCAGCAGGGGTCCAAAGGAAGGGTCATTGACAGCAGTAGCCAGAAGACGCGTGACAGTAGGACTGGCAGCACGAAGGGACTCAGACTCTGGGTCAGCAAGAGCAGGAAAAGAGGACTCTGGAGGAGACGGTAAAGGGACACGCAGTGGAGCAGTGGAAGGACGCAGCGCCATCTGGTGTGTGCCTGGGACCGCAGGAGGACGCGTACGCGGAACACAACAACTAGTGCGAGCAGCACGAACAGGCGACGCAGGACGAGACGCCGGCTCACGACGCTCAGCAAGACCTCCAGTAGGACCAGTGTAGGGAGAAGGAGCAGGCAGTGGTGAGGCGGGTTGTAACTGTGACACCGACTGGACAGGCTGTGGACACTCTAAGGAAGGAGCAGGACTAGTAGAAGGCAGGAGACCAAGAACCTGCTCAAGGAGCGGAACAAAGTACGGCCGCGGCCGTGCAGCGCCTCCAGAACCAGCAGGGACAGCACCAGTACCCCCAGCGGCAGCACCAGCGCCAGCAGCACCTCCAGCCCCAGCAGCGCCAACTCCAGCACCCTCAGAAGTACCAGCGCCAGCAGCACCTCCAGCGCCAACACCCCCAGCAGCTCCAGCTCCTGTAGCTCCAACAGCACCTACTCCTCCAGTACCGCCAGCACCGCCACAAACTCCAGCACCAGGAGCACCCCCAGGCCCAGCAGCTCCAGTACCCCCAGCACCACCAGTAGCACCAGCAGCTCCAGCAGCTCCAGCAGCACCCCCAGTTCAGCAGCTTCAGTACCGCCAGTACGAGCACCTCCAAGACCAGTGGCTCCTGCACCTCCAGCACCGACCCCAGGGTCAGCAGCAACACCAACTCTAGTAGGCTCAGCGCCCTCAGCTCCAGCTCCAGCAGCACTACGGAGGCTGCGACAGTACCGAGAGTACCACTCACGCAGCTGCTGGGAAGAGAGAGCGCCCCCAAGCATAGCACCCCTAGGCTCAGCATCTGCAGTCTCTGCAACCCCAGGCTCAGCACCCACACGCTCCGCACCCCCAATCCCAGCACCCCCAGTCTCCGCACCCATAGGCTCAGCACCCCCAAACGCAGTACCCCCAGACCCAGCACCACCAGGCTCAGCACGCTCAGGCTCAGCATGCGAAGTACCTCGCGCAGGACCAGAGTCGACAGCTACCTCGACAGGCTCGACCGGGTCTACTTGGGAATCACCTGAGGGAGCAGGACCCTGGGGAGGCAGGGGGTCTACCAAGACAGCACCTGGCGTGAGGAAGAGCGGTGGAGGGGGGAGCGGGGCAGTGCGGTAGGGGAAGAGGCGGTAGAAGGGGACCGACTCGTCAAACGTGACGTCCTGGGAGGACAGAACACGGCGCAAGGTGGGGTGGTAAAACTGCCAACCAGGCGCGTCAGGGGGGAAGCCAAGGAAGAGGCAGGGAACAGCACGGGGGGACAGCTTGTCCGCAGACAAAAGCCTGAGATCCCCAGACACGAAACGCAGACGCATCGTCAACCTTCCCCTTCCACCACAGAGCAGGGGAGGTCTCCGGCATGGAGACCCGGGGCTGAAGGTTGATCTTATGCGCCACGTATTGAACCGCGAACGCCCACAGAAAATAGGGAGCAGCCGCATGGATGAAGGACGTACGGGCGACGTCCATGACCATGCCAATGCGGCGCTCAGCAATCCCATTTTGCTGTGGAGAGGCCGGAAGCGTGAACGTCCGGCAGATGCCCTGTGTACGTCAGAAGGCTCGCAGAAGGTCAGAGGAAAACTCTCCACCTCTGTCGGAGTGCAGACGCAGAATAGGAAAGTCCGAGCCGAAACTCTCTCTGAGCTGGAAACGAGCTGCGCGGATCCAGTCGATCAACACCTCAGTGACGTCACCCTTGCTTCGCAAGGGGAAGACCGTGGTGTAACGCGAGTAGTCGTCAACCACCAGCAGGAAGTAACGCTCGTGACCCTGTCCACGGACGCGGGCGGGGCCACACACGTCTTGGTGAAGCGTCTGCAGCGGAGCCTCCGTCGGAGGAAACTCGGAGGGTGAGGAGCGGCGCGCTGCCGCCCCTCGACGTAGGGAACGCAAGTAGGGGCAGGCCCCGGAGGAAGAGGAGGGAGGGACCGGGGAAGACCAGAGACAAGGAAATGAGAGGCCATGCCTCGGAGACGAGGCAGGGAGGGGTGACCAAGGCGGTCGTGCCAGAGGAGAGTCTGGTGAGACAGGAGACGACATGAGTAGGGGGAAGACTCAGGACCAGACCGGGACGCTACAGCAAGCACCTAACCCGACGCAGCTTCCAGACCAGACACAACAACTGGAGGAGACTCAGTAGTCAGTGTGTACAGGCTCGATACCGGCTGATGGGTAAACGTGGCCAATTGTCGGCTCGTCCGAGCACAGGTACAGTG